TCACTAGAATGTATGGAAACGGTTGAGAACCAATTGTACAAATCAACTGAAATTAGATATGGGAGTACAAGAAGTTGTGGTCTAATTATTCGTGAAAACATTTTTTTTTTTTACTTTATTTAATTTGGAGATGCAAGGCCAACTTGATTTTTGAGACGGCACTACCATATAATTCATATTAAAAAAATAAATAAATTAATCAATAACAACTGAAACCAAAATCAAACTTCTGTTTTCTACAAAAGATGCTCAAAATGCTGTCCATTTACTTCATGTCAGTAAAAAAAAAACGCTAAATAAAATTTTGTAGTGAGTTAATGAGAATTTCTGGACGAATTCTAGCGATTTCGTTACGTATGCGTTCCTGTACGTCTTTAATGTGAACGGTGTATTAACATAAACGCGACTTTTCAAATAGCCGCACAAAAAAAGTCAAGCGGTGTCAAATCTGGTGATCTGGCAGGCCACTCAATAGTACCTCTTCGGTCTATCCATCTGCCAGGAAAAGTTTCATTTAAGTACTGTCGCACTTGACTTTCAAAATGGGATGGAGCACCATCTTGTGGAAACCAAATAGTTTCTGCTGGTTAGTTACTCCGCATTTCGGCAATTGGAAAACAATTCTCTAAGTCTAGGCACTATACATTCCCGCAACAACCTTAAATATCAATTTAAATTTCCATTAATAAAACAAGGACCAACTTGAGCAAAACTTCGTCTTTTAACCGATAAATCGTTAATAATTAATTCTATGCGCTCAGTTTTACTTGGATGCACCATTTTTGCAAGAAAGACTCTACATGTCAAATTAAAATTATTTTCAAAGGTAACTACATATGTCATCTTTCTTTTTTTATTTATTTATTTATTTTTATTTAAAATAATTGATTTTGCCATTTCAATCAGAAAGAAAGTATGATTGTGCTACATCAGTGAATTCAGAAAAACAAATCTCTATAAAAAATGCATTAATAAATAATATAGTAGTACCATTTAAAAAAAATCAAGTGGGCCTTGCATTTCGAAAACAAATAAAGCAAAAAAAATTTTTTTCTGACGAGTAATTAGAGCACAACTTGTACCTCTATACCTAATTTTTGGTGATTTCTACAACTGGTTCTCAAGATCTTTAACCGTAGATACTCTAGTACCAGTTAAATTATTTGGACCAATTTAACAATTTCTGAAGTTGCAGATAAAATTACGTATGTTACACGTTGTGTAAAGTAGTGTTACCACACGCCGTCACAGCAAACTTGCAACACAGTTACCATTGCTATATCTTAAGTAGGATTTATAAACTTGCTGTTGATGTTGAAGTTCCCGTTACAGTTGCTGTTCCCGCCAATGTTGCTTTTAGAGCTGAAAATTCACAAACTCCATTGCCAAGTTGGCGTTGACAGTAACTTTGATGTTCAACTTTTGCTCTATTTAAAGAGGTTTTCTGTTTCTTCTTGTCGAAATAAGTCTACACATATTAAGAAAAAAAGACAAAATGTAGCCCCGCCCACCCGCCCTATCTCAATTGTGATGATTTTTTTTATTCGTCGTGATCCAAGAAGGCGGAGCTTAACTGCAAAATTCTTATTTCTCTACGAAAAATTAGAAACATATTTTTGAGTATCGTGTTGTTCAACGAATACTATGCATATATTAAGAAAAAAATAAAGTCAAATATTAGACAGCACCCATACCCAACCCGATTTCAATTCTCAGTTGTGATGAATTTTTCATTCGTTGTCAGATAGAGGGGCGGGGCTTAATTGCAAGATCCATATTTGTCTACAAGAATTTACCATTTTAAATGTGTTTTAAGTTTCTTGGTCTGAAAAGACGACTACGTATATTAAGAAAAAAGGCAACATATAAAATCCCGCACACACGCCCTATCTCAATTGTGATGATTTTTTTTTAATCGTCGAAAGCTAAAGGATCGGAATTTAACTGCAAAATCCTTATTATTTCTCTACAAAAAATTACCATGTAAGACATGTTTTTGAGTATCGTGTCATTCAAAGAATACTATGTATATTAAGAAAAAATTAAAGCGAAAGATTAAGTTCTACCCTGATCTAAGTAGTAACGAAGTTTTCATTCGTTGGCAGACCTAGGGGCGGAGCCTAATTGCAAAATCCATATTTCCTTACAAAATTTACCATTTTAAACGATTTTTGAGTTTCTAAGAATAAAAAATTCATCACAATTGAGATGGGGTGGGTGGGCGGGGTTTATATTTTGCCTTTTTTCTTAATATACATTACTATTCTTTGAACAACACGATACTCAAAACCATGTTTTTAATTTTGTGTAAATAAATAAGTATTTTACAGTTAAGCTCTGCCCCCTTAGTTCACGGCGAATAAAAAAATCATCACAATTGAGATAGGGCGGGTGGGCGGGCTTACATTTTGCCTTTTTGTTTTAATATGTGTAGACTTTTTTCACAACATGCAACTTAAAACATGTTTCAAATGGAAAATTTGTATAAGGAAATATCGATTTTGCAATTAGGCTCCGCCCTATAATTGTAAAATCCCTATTTCCTTGCAAAAATGTACCATTTTAACCATGTTCTAAGTTTCTTGTTGTGAAAAGATGGCTATGGATATTAAGACAAAAAAAGGCAAAATATGACCCCGCCCACCCACCCCATCTCAATTGTGGTGATTTTTTTATATATAAGTTAATTTATATTTCGAGCTTTTTAGATTAATAAAAATAACCGAGCTTTCAGATTTTGAAATTAAAAAGTGAAGGGTTTATATTAATACTGAAATATTGGGTCTTGGAAAGTAGATATTTAAAATTTTGAAATCAAAACATAGTTTTCGTTGGCTAAAAAGGGATAATTAATTTTTTTTTAAATTTCGAAAAATCGGAGATTGTTTTTCAAGATATAACATTTGCGGAATGAACACTGGAACCTTAAAAAGTTGATACTTTAAGCTAATATATTTAAGAAATTTTCAAGCTCGAAATTTTGAAATTTAAAATTAGAAGAGCTTTTGTAATTTAAAAAATGCGGTTTGGAATCAACTCGGATAGAATAATAAAAAAAATCAAAATTTTAAAGTTTGTTTGGAACTTGAGAGAGATTGCTTAGGATCACCGCAGATTTTTTAGGCCGAATGTTTCAGGTATAGTTCTTAAAATCCAAGCAAAAGTGAACCAACTGCATAGAGTGAAGATCGAATTTCAGCGCTTCAAAACATAAGGCGGAATCTAAAACACGATGTCCTTTCAGACTTACAAAACTGAAATCCTGAAATTTAAAATTTAACGATTTTGGGTCAAAGTGACAGTGTTAAGATTTAATATATAAAAATGTTAAAAAAGACTCCGAGATTTGTTAAAATAGCGAAATTTTAATATTTCAAGATTTGAGAACTGAAATGTCGAGTCTTTAATTCTGTTATTGGAACATCGATATTTCGAAACTGCGAAATCAAAAAAAAAGAGTTATCGAGATTCTTAATTATTCAAAAATCAAGAAATACAAGCTTTGGAAATTTAAATATGGTGAAATTAATTTTAAAGCTTTCACGTTATAAAACTAGAGCCTTGGAATATAAAAAGTCCCAGTCATTTTCCTCCAAAATTAATATTCCAAAATCAAAATTCGAGTTCTGAGTTTTAGTTACGAAAATTGAAAGTTTGGAACTTTGAGGTGTATGTCTCAGAAGTGAAACATTTTAAATCTAAAAGTCGAAGTACAGAAATTTGAAATTTAAAGTTTGCATGTAATAAAGTCTTGGCTTTAAAACGCCCAAGTAATTTTAAGACTTGCAGTAGATAATAGTCCAAAACAGTAATATTGATTTTACAATATTATCTCTTGTCACAACGTGAAACTTAAAACATGTTTCAAATGAAAAATTTATATAAGGAAATATCGATTTTGCAATTAGGCTCCGCCACATAATTGCAAAATCCATATTTCCTTGCAAAAATGTACCATTAACCATATTCTAAGTTTCTTGTTGTGAAAACACGGCTAAGTATATTAAGAAAAAACAGGCAAAATATGAAACCCGCCCACCCGCCCTATCTCAAGTGTGATGATTTTTTTATTCGTTGTGAGCCAAACGGGCGGAGCTTAATTGCAAAATCCTTATTTCTCTACAAGAAATAAAAAACATGTTTTTGGGCATCGTATTGTTCAAAGAATACTATGAAAACAACAAGCCAAAAATTAAGCCTCACCCATATCCGTCCCAAGCTCAATTGTGATGAATTTTTTATTCGTTATCAGACCGAGGGGCGGAGCCTAATTGCAAAATCGATACTTTCCTACAATTATTTACCATTTTAAACTTGTTTTGCCTTTCTTGTTGTGAAAAGTGGACTACACATATTAAGAAAAAAGGGCAACATATAAGCCCTTGTAGTTATAATACCTAATCAGTTTTTGAGACGGATAGTAATAAATCTTGTCGATTTAAACGTCGTAAGTACTGACAGAAAGTTACAGTGTAGAAAATGAGAAAAGCTATTTAAAATATGAGGGTTTCGGTGAACAGGTCATGAAATGGCTTTTTTGAATGGTTGAAAACCCAACGTCAATGGCAACGGCGAAAATTAAAAGTTGGTCATCTCGAACGTCACCCCAGCAGCGTGCCAAAAAATAGTTAAATATGCAGAATATGCAAAAATATGCATTTTCAAAATGTTAATATTAAGGCATGCTTTTAGGACTGACGGAATACGAACACCGTCGCGTATGGTCCCGTTTCGCATTCTCCCAATCCAGTCCCGTCTGCGCGAATCCCACAGTACCGCGCTACCGACGTACCACCTTGCTCCACCCAGCTCAAAAATAAACGTAAACCAAGCCCAGCACGGAGTTGTAGTTGTTTTTGCACGTAGTTCGGGGCAGCCGTCGAAGATGTCTCTGCAGGTGCAGCCAACAGGCGGTGCTCTCTGGCGGCGCTTTCGCCAATGCGCCTTCGCTATTACCCGCGATGGAGCTCTACTTGGAGGAGTTCGTTTGGTCCGTCCTCGTGGTGGATGTGTCGACCTAAGCCGACGCCGCGACGATCCCAAGCGAGAGGTTTCTTTGAGGTCGGCCGGTCCGACACCACAGCGAGATTGAAAATCTTTACATGCGTTGGACTGCGCGCTATACCGACTTGATTCAAACAGACGGAATTCCGCCGCCGCCGCCGCCACGATGCTGCTGACCTGACCGCAGCACCGAAAAATGTAAATGTGCAAGAACAACTAATTGCTGTTGAGTGTTATTGTGATGTACGATGGCATACAAATGTCGGGAGGAGATCGTAGGGAAGCGCTTTTTATCAGTGAGTGGCATTTGCAAGTTAAAAGCGGGTAAAATCAGTGAGTGGGGGTGGAGGGCTGGTGTCATACGTGCTGCTACACATAAGGACAACGCTCATCCGGAATTACAGGTAAGAAGTCGACGAGTGCAAAAAGGGGGTGTGTACTGCGAACACCTGCTACTGATGGCTTTCCAATCTGTTTACATGTGAAAAGCCCTGCAGGTGCATTCCGATGGGGAGAATGCGAGGGTCGTTTTCTGACCTATTTTTGGCGAACTGACACGAGGGGTTCGGTGTGTCAAGTCGGAATAAATCATGTATTATTACAAGGGTGGTTTTTAAAATGTGAGGGTTCGCTTCTGGAAATTGCCTCTATTTAAATTCACTTTCGCCCAAAAATTACATCGGCTTTAAAGATTAAAGTGAGAACGGATACGAGGAAATTCGATTACAGGTACGATATTTTCAAACGCAATTTATTCACGTTGGATGCTAATTATTTGAGAAAAGTTGTAAGTTTTTAAGCTATCTTGACCGACTATGGAATCAAAATATTCGTACACCTAGAAGTGTCAATGTCTGGAAATCCATGAAAGACGTAGCTGGAAATTTTAATTTCCACACTCGTAAAAATATTGATCATCGATATGGATAGTGGAGTTGCAATTATGGGGGCTGATCGTCATACAATATAGATGGGCTTATATCCATTTCAACGTTTAACCAATCTTTAGTCGAATACAGTGTAATACATCTTTTAAAGGCCAGAAGCTCCTTTCCAAATTCTTCTTCTACAAAACCTAGTTAATTGTTTTTTTATGATTAAATAATATGACATTATAAATGACCTTACTTATTTACATACATTCGTTTTTAAAATGAAGTTTTCGTTACTCAAGTTCCAATTTTTAAAATTGTTGTTCCCCATATTGACAAAATATAACCATATTTAAAAAAAAAAAAATATTCGAGAAAAATTTTCAAAAGACATTTTTTTTTGTTTTTAAATATAGTTTTAAGTATACCTATGTATATCAGTTCAGTTGATACGCATAAATAATTAGTATTAACATATACATATATACAAAGTTATGTTATGACATTTTAATAATAATCGATAATAAATTATTGATTTGAATTGTCAACCATGTCAATTTTGACAACAGGAAGTAAGGTGTGGCGACAATTCTACCAACTTCAAGCACAATTGGCCGATGCGAATTGAAACAGTACAAGTTCAATTTTTTGAGTTGACTTGATGAGTTTTCTGAAGCGAAAAAAAACGTTTTTCTCTCGAGGAAGGTGGCAATTTGTTTCACAGTGTGAGAAATACGAAAATATTCGTTAAAAATTTCCAAGAATTTGTCATTTCTGTCTATTAGTATCACCTTTAAAATATTAAAGAAATGGTCGAACTTCTATAAAGTTTGTTTCGTGTAATCAACACCCCCGCAGCCTCTGCGCCGTGGGGGCGCAGTCCACACAAGTGTGGACAATATGAAATATATTTAAAGCACACAATTGATTGGAAAAATGTAGATATTCTCAGTTTCTCAGTACATTTTCAACTTCGACTGTTTATGTTTATATTTCGAAAGATTTGGACTATTCAGATTAAAAACATCAGCGATTTAAAAAAAATGAAATTTGATTGATTTTGTTTCCTCAACGCGGAGGAGAGAACTGACTGATTAATATTAACCACGTCCATTTTTTTTTCCAAAAAACATAAATTTGAAGAACGTATTTATTCGACAAAATTGTATCTTATTTAAAAAAATTTATATATATACTATTTACTAATGTAGATTTTATAGATGACGCTATCTTGTTGGCGGAGACGATTAGCCAAATTTTCGTTAGACGGCAGTCAGACAGCCTGACGGACGGGCGGACACACGGAAACGGGAGACATTTTCGTAGTCAGGGGTCATGAAACGTCGAGAAAACATAAAAGTAGCCAGTCGTTCAATGAACTCAATTAGAATACTCGCTCAGGTAGTAAAAAGAGTTCAGAAATACCACTTTCAACAATTAGCTAAAATTATATTTAAGTTTTGAATACTTAAGTCGTCACAGCTTCTAACAGATGTCGGTTTAATTTTGTTCGTATTGAATATGTTTTTAAGTGTTATTTTATGAACGTTTAATGAAATAGCTTGAACCTAAAACGCTTTTCCAAATGATGATGGTTATTGGAATATTTTATTGCCAGTAATTTCGGACTTGACATCTGTAAACTTCGTCTACCCAAAAATCTTTTTTATATTTTACTGGTTTTAGAGAAAAAATCTGAAATTTCAAGGTATTTGTAGCAGTTTTCAGTGTATTTTGAGTAAATTTGAGTGTAGATTGTAAGAATTAAAAAAATATAAAATCTAAAAGGAAATTTGGAGAAGAGAGGAGAATTAGCATCTAATGCAAAAAATGTTAATTGTGCAAATTGTGTAAGTCGTGAAGGTTAAATTAAATCATCTTAAAAAAGATAACCCAAAGAATTTTTGTGAAAGTGTCTGAACACTTAAAATCTGTTACAAAGCATAAATTAAAAAGTATGAAACAAATAAGTCGTTCTGGTTGCCTCAAATAATAAATGCTGCTTATCTGTTAAATACCTCCAGAAGGCCAAACGCACAGATTTAGCAAATTACACTTGCGCTTGATGAGAGATATATAAGATTAAACTTCCACACTCGAATGCTTTCAATTAATAAAATTAATCGTTAATGTTTGATTTGATATCTAATATTTGCGCAACGTAAGCAAGGGTTATCAGCAGATTACATAATGGCAATTACAAAATTTCGTGAACTTATTTTTTTGCGGCGAGTTTTGATTGAAATAGAATAATAACTTCTTCCAAGCACGAGTGCGAACAATTGCAAATTTTGGAATTAGTACTGAAGGCAATGAAAGCGAAATTGAGCAAAATTTATTAATAGCGATATGCAGTCTAGCAGAAAATGAAATTTAGTGTGCAATACCAAAAAGGTAAACAATTTTTAATGTCAGTGGTACTTCATTGTTTGTGGCAACTGGTGCACTTATGTTCTCATTATTCTTAACTATATTTTCATGCTTCTTTGGTGCTTTATCAGAGTACATAAAACTTTTGACACTGATAGTCGAAATTTTTCTTTCTTGGATTGTATGTAGCTCATGATGCGGACACGCTGTATATAATGATTACATAAAATTTATTCAAACAAATAGCACGCCTTTCAATTTATATATATAGAATATGTAATTAAATATTATGTATGCTTAAGCTGACTTAAGAATGGCGTCAAAATATTATGCAAATAAATTCTTGTATGTATTAATAACATTGTGTAATGACGTCATTGCCACCTACCATTAAAAGCCGGTCAAAATAGTGTAATAAAAGGCGATACAAACCATTTTTATTGGTATCTGTCATTCTACTACTTAAATTCATATTTTATTACAAAGCTGTAAACTTTTCCTTTGTATTTTATGATAATAAAATCAATCAATTTTCCATGGTATTGTGTACTCTAGAAATACAATTTGACGGAATTCTGTACAAATTTATTGTCAAGCCTTGACTGGATGATACTATTTTTGGCGTTTTTTGAAAATGGTAGTACTAGTTTTGACTGAACAAATTGTAATTAGTACATTCGTTTAGGAAATTATTTGTCTAACATGTTAGTACACAGACAAACGAAACCAGGAAACCTGGATTTTCTATTTTGTAATCTGCGAAACAATAAAACCCGGTGAAATTAAACATTCGCAAAAACCTCTGGTCCAAGAATGCGGTTTTATAGAAGGAACCAAGAATTTAGCTTCTTTAAATAACCTCAGATAAAGAGTCATTGGCAGGGTAATAAAGTTGTTTATGCATTTTTGCTTACAGAACTGACCAAATTTGCAAGAAACAAGCACACAACGCTCGTTTATAATATCATGAATCCACACTCGTCTCGACAGCTTTATTGTTCTCAGTGTTTGCCTTAATATCAGTGACCTCCACAATATTTTTCTTCACAGATTTGTTTACTTTACAGTACATTGATTTCTCGATATTTTAAACAAAAGCTAACAATTACTGAGGCATGAAATTTTTTGAATTACCAAATGTAAATTCGTGTCATGGCTGCAAGCAGGCTGCAGTATGGGTCATCGACATTCTTCTAGGCTACCAGAACAACTTCAATTGGTTTTAATAATGATGGTGATAAGAGGGGGACACTTGCCTTATGTTATCTTTAGCAGTAAATAAAAAAAGAGTGCATAGGAAAGCAAATAAAAGCATCTTTTTTGTTGTTGAAAGAGCACGTGTTTTGCTAGACCATTTGTTAATGACAATGTTTTCCAGATTAGTATGCTAGGAATAATTGTATTGTTAAGGACGTAGTGCTACTGAACTGTACGCATTACGGTATAAATGCATCACAAGGTCAAGATCGTGTAATGATTGGTGTATAGTAGAGCTGATTTAATAGTACTTTTTATAGACGCAGTTCCAAATCAAATGGAAGCTACAACTGCTACAATTTTTCAATTTACTTAGAGGATTCTCCTTTCTAAATGCACGAGTTGCTGTTATCGTTGTAATTTTACTTATTTTTATCAATTATCTCCGAAACTATGCATCTAATTGATTGAAGTTCAAGGAACAAATATAATTTTGGAATACATCATTGTATTATCAGTGACTGTACAAAATAAACTAACAGCAGAAGCTCCCCTTTAATATGCAGTTGTTGATAATATCAAGACAGTTATAAAGAATGACCTTCATGTTGATATAGACATAAAGTTATTCACTTGTTTACTAAGATAATGGCTAGTTAATTTTTGCACTCTGTTCTTCACGCTGTAGCAATTACCTATAATGAAACACAATTACTGAGAATGCGTTAAGTGGTACGCATGTGGTAGTTTGTAAGACAACCTAAGAAGTAGTAACCCTCCCAGAATTAATTGGTTTAATGGAAAAACTTTGGCCAGCTAAAGTTAAACCCACTTTAATATTGATTGTTCTTCCCATTCCGATAACAAATATGTGTGCTTTGGTTTTTAATTTGTGTACTAATATTTGTGTTTGTTTGTTCGCACCAAAGTCAGATGATTTTCACCCAATGTCAGTGTAATATTAA